ATCATAAGAACTCTTTGAAGATAGAGTGTTCTTTAGGAAGAGAAGATGTCACCCGAGCAGCTCGAATCACTAATTGACTCACTGAACACCGAAGCGGAACATCTGAAAGAGAAAATCAATGAGCTATCTATGAAAGTGCGAAGTTTCCCATTGGGATGTGATCGTTACCACAGGTAAATCACCACTTTTCAACAACCAATTCTACAAATCTGTGAACTCATTAACAATTCAGGAATTATTGGCAAATACCTGGTGTGCCATCGATTCTGGTGGAGTCCGTCGAAAGTTCTGGACCATCGAATCCGGCGTGTAACATTGATGAAACCTGTGCAAAGGATCCAGCGCAGCTTCAAGGTAGTTTCATCTTCTCTCGTGGGAAAGAATCAATGTTGAAATTTTTAGCTCCTGGCTTCGTCCATCCTGATGTGATCGCTTGCGTAGAAGACCTTGTGGATGATGTCGTTACGGCTCGGTCTCACACGGATCGACGAAAGCGGAAGCGGTTCCGTCGTATGGATAATCCATATAAAAGGGGCTGGTGGTCTGTGGATACTAAGTAAGCCACTATTTCCTATTTTGGATTTTTTTTTCGAATTTGAATTCTTTAGGGAAGCCCTAGAATCTGTGCGAAGCAGTTTGCACGGTAGAGGTATTCGTGAACGGGTTCTGCATCGGTTACTCTGCAAATCGTGGTTTTTGAAAGATGTAAAATTAGGCAAAGGTCAGTCCCCAGTAACTCCTACTGAGACAAGAACTTCACTGATGAGAAAATTTCAGTTGAACTAGAAAAGGTTGAGGAGGAGATGGACTTGGGCAAATTCAAGAACTTGAGCTATACTGCCGTACATCGCCGACTTGATGAGCTTGAAACTAGGATAAACAAGGCCAAAATCGCTGCAAGAGGTCAGTTCTGCAGACTACAGTACCTCTACAGTATCCTATTTCATCTTTTACGGTTTATTTGTTGTTTTAGTCACTGCCAATGGACTTCTACGAAACGGTGAAAGAACGTCAGCTGAGCTTAGGCAAAGGATTCTACATTGCGAAAAGCGAATCAACCGAAGCTTCTTTAGACCCAGTTTTTGTGTCAGGTGAGGAATAACCTCTATGGTATCCTTACAGTAGACCTACAGTGCCCTATTCTACAGTGACAAGAAATATCTGGCCCATACACTGAAAATGGAGGAAGAAAGAAAGAATGGTAGTCATCCTGACGAAGAGGAAGAACGATCAGAAGCTGACCGTGATGAAGAAGATGGTGACAGAGAAGATACAGACAGCCGTGAAATGATAGATCGTTGGCGGTCCTACGTAGAATCCGCCACAACGCCATCAGAATTAGC